GTGAGAGAAAGAGAGAGATGAATAAATATAAACAAAGGGAATGTTTTGGAGAAAAATGAGTAGGATAATAGTGTGAGTGCTCAGGCGTATTCTGCGTGCAGACGTGAGTACATTTTTAAGTCTTGCGACCTAAAATGAATAAGTCCGATTCAATGACGCTCGTAAACGCTGGAAATTTACTCTCTTCTGCATGCAGAACACGCCTGAGCACGCACTCAGTCTTGATAGCGTGCAAGACGCAAGATCAACATACATTCAGTGACAATAACAATAACATGAAAAGAAAGAAAAAAGAAAGTACGTGACCGCTTGGAAAAGGTAGATGAAAAGCAAAGCAAACTTTTGTAGAGTCTTGACAGAACGTTGGGTCGTGAACTAAGCACAGACGAACTGAAGTTTATTTACAAGCGCATTACACATAATAATAATAATACGCCTGTCCACATTAATAATAAAACAACATTAGTATAACTGGCCTACTTTTGCCCGCAGGTGTCGTGTAACTATGTTATATAAAATACTAGGCCTATAAATTTCCATCACGCGGAAAATGTGATTGTTCATAGCACTTTCCGCTTCTCGCTCACATTTTGCATACGCATAATATGGCCTACGTCATAGCTCGCCAATGACACTTTAGTGGCAAAACTTCATACAAAAATATTTTTGTAATGAACACTTTTTTTTACACTGAAGGTTCCCTAAACATAAGCATGCTATTGAGATTGGGGCAAAAAAAATGACAGACTTGCTTTTGAAAGAAAGCGATATTGCCGGAGCTGTAAAATTTTTGTAATTTGTAGAAACAATCGACTGTGATTTTTAAAAGTATTTATTAAGGATTTTCCTAGAATATATCATGACTGTGCCAAGCTATCTTCCTTTCATACAACCAGCTTTACGCCAAATCCTCAGAATCTTCTGGCCCGACAAGATATCCAACGCAGATCGGTTACGTAAATGTAGGCAAGAGAACAAGACAACCATAATAAAAAAGGAGAAGGTGGAGATGGATTGGACCTGTTCTGAGAAGAGAACCAGACTCTATTGTGAAGACTGCCCTCCACTGAACACCCGAAGGACGACGCAAAAGGGGCAGACCCAAAGTGACCTGGAGACGCACAGTAGAATCTGAAATGAAGTCCTGGAATCATTCGTGGGGAACGCTGACCAAGATGGAACAAAACAGACAGAGCTGGAGATCCGTTGTTACAGCCCTAAACGCCAGATGGCGTAATGGGTAGTAAGTACGTAAGTAGTTCCTAGAATATAGTGTGCAGGAGTTAGAAAAAAAATGTTCACTTGTTATGACAAATTGATATTAGCCATTGTCCCCAAGTTCGATAGTTAAGAAGATATTTCACAATAAGTTGCGCCATTGCATTTTTTACCACATTATAGGCGTAAGCTGGTATACTATAAATTTAGTTTGTACTCTTAACTCTTATTCCACGCAAGGCGTTGCATAATTAATGATTTCTTCTCAGTCTAACAGCATAAACCCAATTTTTGGTTCACCCACCACCACTGGATGCCCCACAATTGTATTCTAACATTTTAAACATTCCTTGTAATAACTCCTAACGTCAGGAGCTTCGTTCAACTGGCCGTTTTCCTCCAGTATTTTTGCAAAGTCCAGATGTGTGCACACCTGCGTACGGTCCTTTAACACCAAGCCTCAGCGCAAGTTGGGCGAACACTATGGAGGCGTACGGTCCCCTGGCGCCAAACACTATGGAGACGTACGGTCCCCTAGCGCCAAACACTATGGAGACGTACGGTCCCCTAGCGCCAAACACTATGGAGGCGTACGGTCCCCTAGTGCCAAACACTATGGAGATGCACGGTCCCCTAGCGCCAAACACTATGGAGACGTACGGTCCCCTAGCGCCAAACACTATGGAGGCGTACGGTCCCCTAGTGCCAAACACTATGGAGATGCACGGTCCCCTAGCGCCAAACACTATGGAGACGTACGGTCCCCTAGCGCCAAACACTATAGAGACGTACGGTCCCCTAGCGCCAAACACTATGGAGGCGTACGGTCCCCAAGCGCCAAACACTATGGAGGCGTACGGTCCCCTAGCGCCAAACACTATGGAGGCGTACGGTCCCCTAGCGCCAAACACTATGGAGGCGTACGGTCCCCTAGCGCCAAACACTATGGGGGCGTACGGTCCCCTAGCGCCAAACACTATGGGGGCGTACGGTCCCCTAGCGCCAAACACTATGGAGGCGTACAGTCCCCTTGCGCCAAGCACTATTGGGGCGTACGGTCCCCTAACAATAGCCTTCCAGTTTAAGTAAGATTTCACAGCCCTTACAACACAATTTTTTTAAAAATTAGTAAGAATTTTACAGGCACTTGCAACAAAATGGTCTTACAAGTGCCGAAGATTAGAGGAGTTACAAGAGAGTAACAAACACAAAATAGAAGGAAGGGAGATAATGACGATAGACGTTTGATAGGAAAGAAGGAGCAAATCATACCAGAGCACCCGTCAACCACCCACTTACAAGTTCACAAAAGGCCATGAAAATGCCTTAGATTAAAAGTGTTACAAGAGAGTAACATACAAAGAAAAGTGGGAGAGGTAAGGATGATACCTGTTTTTTTGGTGGGGATACAGGAACAAACCACACCAGAGAACCCGTCAACCACCCACTCCCCCCCCCTTCCCCCTGGCCCAAAGCAAAGGAATCGTGAAACCTTGATGAATGTGGTTCCCTCCTTCCTCCCCCCCCCCCAACCATCCAGTCCTCACTTTGATGACTGTGGACCCCTCCCTCCCCAGTCCTTACCTGAATTACTGTGGACTCTTCCCCTCCTCCCTCCCCACCCTCCAGTTCTCCCCTTTATGACATTGGTCCCATTCCACCCACTCCCCTCACCAGTTCTCACCTTCATAACTGTGGCCCTGTCTTCTGTCCAGATAAAGGAGAACTCGGAGAAGCTGTTGAGCGCCTTCTTGAACTGGTCACCCAGTGGGCCGGCCATGTTGCCCATGTTGCTGTACTTCATCACGTCCTTGTTCTCGGACACCATTTTGTAACAGTTTTTCTTCAACACCAGCGCTACACCACAAATACAGTTTAGTTTTAGTCAAATGTTTATGACCCTTGCAAACACAAATAGGTCATATAAGTGCCCAACCTTGATTTAGTTATAACAATCGTTTTATGGCACTTGCAGCATAATAGTCTTAGAGTGCAGACGATTAAAGGTGCTACAAAACTAACAAATACACAAAAGAAGGAAGAGCGATCAGAACGACTGATGTTTGATAAGAAGAAGTAGCTAACCACAACAGAGCAGCCGCCAACCATCAACGCTCAAGATTAAAGGTGTTACTAAAGAGTAACACACAAAGAAAAGAAGGAGGGGAGATATGAACAGTCGAGGTTTGCTTTTTTAAAAAAGAAGGATCAAACCCCACCAGAGCATCCATCAACTAAAGACGAAAGGTCTAAGTTGGAGGAAAGAAAAGCCCGTCCACAGGAAAACAAAGGATTTATTTTGGACCGGAACA